GAAGGAGGAGGTGAGTGGAGAAGAAAGTATAAAATAAAATAAAATTTTGATAAATTAAATTTTAAAAGTGGGACCCACAAATGAAATATGACGTGTTTGATATGTCAGCACAATTGATATACGTACTCGGTTGGATATGTTTATTAGTATTTATTCCGTCAAGTTAAAGTGTTCAAATAGAAAAATTGTAAATTTGTTTACCGAATTAGCAATTAAGTATAAGTTTAAGTGGCATTTTACCAAATTTTGACTTAGAAGTCCATCCTTCTTTCCATACCCCAGAGTCCTTTACCCAACGCTCACACGCGGTAGTTTAGGAGGCTATTTAGCGGTGCCTACGTAGTCATGTGATTCAACGTGGTGCTTCTACTTTAAATTCTAGGTCACCTACCACCGTCTCTCTTTATTGCTAGCTATTGCTTTTTTTCTTTTTTCTTTTTTCTTTTTCAAGAATAAATATTTAGCTGTTTGATTTCTAAATTCATGGCTTCTTTTCCTCTTTTCTGTGGTTTGGAATGGGAACAGCGAATGTCTTAAACGGTGATGGGGTCGGAGCTACTATAGGATTGATCAGTTGAATGGAAAAATTATACTCCCTCCATTTTAATATATATGAGCTAGTTTGATTTAGAATGAATAATTTTTATTAAATTGGTGATCCTAAAAGCTTAATGGGTAAAAACTTTGTAAGACCACAATATTTATGTGACTGTAAAAATTTTTATTAATGATAAAATGCATAAAATAGAAACTTTATAAGTTATTATTTTTAAATTTATAAATGTCTCATTTTCTTCGAAATGGATAACAAAAAAAGGTATATAAAAGAAGGGGAGTATTGTATGTATAAATCAAATATTATTTCTTATACATATATTTTAAATCTTAAATATTTTTGGCGAAATTTCTTGCTTGTCCACGAAACCTAAATCGTTCTTTAGTTTTCTACCAATATAAAAATGTTGCTTTTACCTATTGGTTTCGGTCTAACTTTATCACCCATAGACAAACCTTTTGATGTTCGGAGTATTGGAAGAGCAAAATGGCTTCAAGCGCCACATCAAAATGGGGATCTTGTGAATTAGTTAGTTGATAAGCGCTTATATATAATTTTTCTCTTTATAAGCAAAATAAATAAAATTACTAAAAAGGAGAAAATTATCCGCTATAACTATAGTTCCACTTTCACATTTTAACTTACGGTTACATAAGACAGTAATTTAAATAAATAAAAACAACAAAGAAGGAACACATATTCGAATTTATTAATCCCCAGAATACCCCTGAAATCTCCACCAATTCAATTCTTCACCTCCTCCTTCTCCACCTCCTCCTCCTCGAAAGCAGACACGGGATAAGCCCTAGAAAGTCCAGCAGGGGTAGCAAAGGTAATTTTCTTAGACTCCGGGTCTTGAATTGAAATATCAGAAAGGGTAACCCAGATGAGAAGCTCCTTGCTTTTAACACCAGTGAGCTTCTTCATCCGACGATCCTCAACGATCGCCGTCACCTCAGTGTCGTACCAGACGAGCTTACCAATCTTCTTAAACTTGTGCTCTTTCGCCTTCTTCTGTTTCAGCCAAACGAACCCGGTTTCTTTGTTGCGGCCAACCTCTAAGATGTCATCTAGAGGGAGTAGACCATTAGGCATGTTGATTTCCTTCAGAAGTTCAAGCGATTTCTGCTTGCATATCACTGGATCGGTGTACACTTCAGCATTTTCCCTTTGGTTTTCGATAACTTGAGTCGCCATGTTTTCTACAGAAAAATGAAAGAGAATTGAATTCTTAGCGCGTGACAGTGTAAGAGAGACTAATCGAGGGGGTCCTGTGAGGAATTGGGGATGGATGGGTGTATATTTATAGCCAGGATATGATGTTAAGTTACTGAATTGCCCTTTAGACTATTTATTTGTTTATTTTTTTGGATCTTGTGACAAGTATTTACGTAATTGAATAATAAACTCTTGAAATTTTATGAAATCAAGAAAGTCTACTAGTATACACTTGGTTAACTACTTTTCTCGAGGAGTCTGTCCCGATTTTTCACATGTTATATATTTATTGGTTTGGTGTAAACACCCGGTGCGAGTAAGTTTTTACCATTTCGCACTTACTTCATCTTCTTTTAATAGCCCATCTGGACATACGTTTTTTTTATTTTTTATTTTTTACTTTTTCTTCGAAATCAGTATTTGACCATGTATTTTTAATTTTCACTTGAGAATTTTAGGTACGATTTGGACATGAATTCCAATTTTCTTTTCAATTTTGGGATTTCACTAAAATTTGAATTGAAGATGACGTTATGTTTGGTTATAATTTTGCAACATATTTGGATGTCTTTTTTTCAATATATTTTGCAGCTAAAAACTAGCAACCTTCCCATTTTCAATTGAGAAACTGGTTTTCACCAGTTTTTCAAATTTAAAATGCATTTTCAATTGAGATTGGAAAAATTGTAAGATTTTGATAACCAAACACTATTTTCAAAACAAAAAAACTTGAAAAAAAGGAAACTTTTCTTATGTCCAAACGAGCTCTAGAATTTGTCGAAAATTTGAAAAACTCAAAAAGACTGTCTTTTATAATTTTCACCCAGATCACTCACGAAAATAAAAAATAAGCCAAACTTATATTCATATCCAAACATATCTCCAATTTTTAAATATTATTTTCACGTTAAAAAAGATTCACTTTTTTATGGAATTTTACCATTCTTACGTCCAAACGCCCACTAAATTTATGACATTAAAGGAAATGAAATTAACCTTTTCGGTCTCGTCGGTGTTGCCTCATATCTGTAGATCGTGATGTGCTTTGAAATGGTCGTCTTATGTCCCCATTCAATGAGAAACCCTGTTATCCAATACGTAGCTCTTTTTTCTCCTATTTTAATCCTCAAGCAGGTGAATTTTCAATTTTCCACAAAAGTATATTTCTTTATATCGACATTGAAATATAAAAATTCGACAAATTAGCCTAACTTTCTTTAGTTTAGCGTCCACGACGAGAAGTGCAACATTTTTTTTTTTTTTTGGTGTCGATACTTGTGCGATTTGTGGAGTAATATATATGGAGTAGTTTTTTCTTTTAGCAATTTCATGGTTAATAAATCATAACTCAAAGTATATTAGACTGTCCGAATCGAATGTGTCCCTAGACATAATGATATGTTTAATGTTCTTGACAACAACCGAAAGTGTTGTAGTGAAGGGAACCAGTTAATGTTATAGCATAACTCTGTTTTAAAAGGCAGAATTGGGACTCGCTCGGGGCTCGACCCGGGGCGGAGCACTCGTAAAACGTCCCTGGGCTTATGTGTGGGGCTTAGTTCCGTGAGACTTACGCCTCGGCCATCGGGGCTTATGCCCCGGACACGCCCAACGCCCAGCGTACTGGGCTCGCCTAATAGAATTTTATGCAATTGTATGTAACTAACCTTGTATATCTTCAAATTTTCTTAATAAATCGTTGACTACTCAAAATTACTTTTTTCCTAAGTATAAATTAGTATGTTGAGAGTATTGTCATAATTAAAATAAAAATTATTGCACGCTATCCACTAAGACTGCTATAATAGTTAATTTTAAATAAATCTTTCATTTAAAAAGTATTTATTTATTAACTATTGTTATGTCTTTACTATATAATAATTCATATATTTTTTTATAATTATTTTTCTAGTTTTTTTTATACGTTTACGAGATACAATACTTATTAATTTAATAGCTCAGTATTAGCTAGTAACTATGTACAAATAATTAGTTATCATGGTATTGTATGGTGAATTATGTGTCACTTTATTAACTTGTTGAAACTTAAAAATGAATGATGCTTGAGAATCATATTTAAATTATGAATTATATTTTTAATTATATAAATTCTCTTTCAAATAGAAAGCATATTAAAAAAAGGAGTATTTTAAGAAAAATATCAAGTTATATTATCGAAATTCTTTCAAGATTCATTACTCCATAAGAGATACATATAAGATTTCGTATCGAATACATTACTTTTGATGTTTGAGTTGTAACGACATTGCAACTATTTGCATATTCATAGTTGAATTATAATTTATTAATATTTTAAATATATTATTTGTTATAGTTTTGTAATTTAATATAATTTTTATATTATTTTTTATTTAATACTATTTTAAAATTCTTGAAATTAGTAAAATTTAAAAATCCGTGGGACATACGCCCCATGTCTCAGGGCTTACGCCTCGCCTCGCCTCACGCCCCGCCTTTTAAAACATTGTAGCATAATATTATTGTCATAAGTATTTACCAATAATTGCATGCTTTAGAATCTGAAATTGCTTTGTGTGCTCTACCCCACTCTCCCCTTCCAAAAAGTAAAAAGAAAAATGAAAACCGTTGGATTTTTGAAGAGGGAGGAGTAGGAGGTTGGGAGCAGGCTGGTGGAGAAGATTGATATTTATGGAACTTGCCCACTTTTATTTGTCAATATTCAATAGTGAGTAAATTACTTTTAGGTCTGCCAACCACTTACCAGTGTACATTTATTTAAGCATGTCACGTGGCCGACACGTTCCCCAACACGATGCAACGAAGATGAAATTTGCTACTACTATTATTATACAAGTAAATAGTTGTAACCTCGGCTGAGATATGTCGCATATCATGATTCAAGACTCATTCTGTCAAGCGCAACTGTGAAAGGAATTAAAAACAGTGGATGAAAGGTTATAAAAAGTAATTATGGTATAACTTTGAAACAACTGTGAAACAATATACCTTTTGAAATTTATGATATTATAGTGTGCTCTGAAAATTTTAAGGTACGTTATTTATAAAAATAATTATTAAATGTATGTAGTATTAAGTGTTGGGCTATAACGGCCCAAAGATACTCTTAATTGTCTGCTTGGGGTTAAACCCGCACGATTTTTCAGAAAGACCTCACATCATTAAGAGTATACAACTCTTTATAAGTAGCTTTTTTTTTATTTCTACTTTCCATGTGAGATTTTGTTCACACACATCCAACAATCTCCCCCTTGAACTAAGTTCTACATGACTCATCATCATTTATGGGCTAATTTGGAGATTAACTGTGTGTCACCCACATGATCTTGAATATTTGCGGTCACCGAAGCCCAAATACTGTGTATGCATCTTCAAAGCTACAGGTAAAGATCGTAAACCCCGTAGACGAGCAAAGGTACTAACCCCGTAGATGGGCAAAGATACGAATCCGGGCCCCACGCCATACTCCGCCATATTCATAGTCCCGCAAAACTATTGGCTCTGATATCAGTTGTTCGGTTATGATGGCTTAAAGATATTCTTAACATGGTGCATGTGATGTGTTCGCTTAGGCAAAGCCTGCACAATTTTCCCCAAAAGGCCTCAAGAATATCCAACTCCTTATAAATAGCTTATTTTTCATTTCTACTTTCACATGGGACTTTTTACACACATCCAACAAGAAGTTCAAAGTTATATTGTTTTTAAATATATAACAAAATAGCAAGGGAATTGTGTAATTGGAAAGGAAGAAGTATTAACATTGTAACATTTTAATCCTTTTTCTAACCCAACAACTACAGAAAGCCACAACATTGTTGGACAGTGGGCATGTTTGCTTCATGTTATGGGTGCGAATGTAAAAATTTTTTAGTTAAAAATAGTTTCAAGATTAATTCTTTTCATGGCAAAATGCTGTAGTTCCACTATCCAAATGTTTCTTCGCATCGATCGAATACTTATTACTCCCATAATTAAATTTATATGAAACTTATTATGCTATTTGCATATATAACTTGATGAAAAACATTTAATAAATTACTCAAATTTCTTCATTTAGAGACAAACACGTCTTATATGTTACCGTTTCGGATGCTGAACCTTTAGAGAAATTCTGGAAAGAACAAAAATACATTTACTTTTGGTTTCGCATAAGTATTCTTTTATACCAAAAATATAAATTCGTTGCTTTATGGTATAGCTTCTTGAAGTAATAGTTATTCTCAAATCTAAAATTTTACTTAAAGTGAAAGTTTATTGCCCATAACTCTATTTTCTTTTAAAGAAAGTGGAGAGTGTATTCTGAAACATTTTTCCGTGTTAAAACGCATTATTTCTTTTTTTTTTTTTTACTTATTACTGTATGGTCAAAATCTGATAAAAGAAATTCTGCTTAAGGAAGAGCAACCAAGCCGAAGTCACGTGTAGGAAGCGATATGCCGGCAAGTGATTTGGCTATGGTCGAGGTCGAGCACTCAATTTGGTCCGAATGGCCAGTTCAACGCTTATATATTCTAGAGGAATATTTTATGGGATATTCCAGTAACTTAGGTACTCCGGTTAAGGACCGCTGAGTAAGGAAAATGTTTGGTATAAATATCATGAGAAAGTGCGACACAAGAAAAAGAAGACATACGTATATAACAAGATTTACATCCCTAAAAGGAGGAGGATGCTCTCAAACCTCAGGCTCCTGACCGAGAAGAAGATGAGAGCTCAGAATCTCGATATGCATCTTTAATTCTATTTTATTAAATGGAAGGAGGGCGGTCTTATTTGAGCATGGTGATTCTTTTCCTTTATGTATTCCTCATTATCATTTGACATTATGAGAGCAATTGTCTGTTTCTTATATTGTGAGAATCAATCGCTGTTATAATCAAAATTTGTATTTAGTTATGCTTGTTCATTCCTATCATTTATCTCAGATCTGGAATTAATTATCTTTGGCTAAAATTTGCCCCAAATCTTTTTATTAAATTGATTTAACTAAGAAGACCTAATACTTTTTAGTCAAACAATTTGGCGCTGTCTGTGGGGATATTTCTAGCC